GTCACGACTGAGCCACACGCTGCAGTCCGATGCCAGGGGACCTGTGGACACATCAGCGGTGACACTTCATTAAACCGGGGGCCCGGTGGCGCCCTGTGGGGAGGCATGACACAGTGACTCATCCTGGAGCACGAGGAATCACAGCAACTTGGCGCTACACTAGAGGGAGCTCGCCGGGGGGGAATTAATGTGTGGGGGGGGGGGGCTGTAGGGCTAAGGGCCGGATCTTGAGCAAGTTCAGCGAGGAGCTCAGTTAGTTCTGAGTGGGGGGGGGGGGCGCGATCTCTGACTATCCTAAAGTGGCAGGTAACCTGAGGGGGTCCTGCGGCTGAACCGTGTGAGCTAGGGGCTTGAAATTTCAGACAGATAAACTAGTTACATGTATGAATAAGTGTGCCAAGTTTCATTAGCGCAGCCCTTACCACTGAGCCGCAGTGGCATTTTTAGTTTGGTAAAGTGGCTAATGGAAGCTAATGCGCACTTCTATCCTGTCGAACCCCTGGCCAGAATCGCACGAGGGGTCGGTCCAGTCTGATTCGCACAGTTAGCTTAGGGGTGACCGTCGCTTGGTCGATACTGTTATACCAGCTCGGCTGCTGACAGTCTGTACAAATTTAGCTTTCTCAGGAGACTTGTAGTGAAACTATGCTGGAGCTGAGAGAAGGGAGCGTGTGGAGCGATTCGCGGCATTCTGCTGACCGCCCATCTCAAGCCACTAACCCCGATGATGAAGCCGGGAGACTGAACAGGTACCGCGGATGGCAGGAGGTGCCATCAGGCCCTGTTACCTCTGCGGCTCTACAGAGGCTAATCGCCACGGCTTTCTAAAGCCCGGGGTTGAGAGTCTGGCAGAGTTTTCCTGGCGAAAGCCATATGACTGCACCCCCAGATGAGAGAGGTAGGGGTCTCTGTCAAGTGAGCCCCATTTACCGCAGAAGAAACAACGTGGATACCGCTTGCCAATCCCAGGCGCCTTTTTCCGAAGCTGAGGCTCTCTCTCAGCGCTCCCACTATGTGGTGCTTTAAAAGAGGCTTTGAAACGCCTCTTAAACACGTTCTGTGAAACATTCCTGCGAAATGCTTGAGTGAAACCATTTTTAGAGCAGTGCTTAAAAAAAAAAAAAAATGCTTTTCGCCGTACTAAAGGACCTGACAGAGCTGGCGTGTCCATTCTCAGTGATCTTCGGCAGAAGATCCAGCGGGTGAGTGGGGGTGGCCAGGATTTGGTCGATAAACCCAAGGGATATTTTTTTTTGTCCAGCTTAACGGTTGGTGCCAACGCAGGAAGACTGTGGCTGCCGTCTCCCTGCACAGCCCAGTCCTCTCATCACAGGTCAAGACTCTGTACATCCACAGACCCCCTCCTCAGAAGCTGTCTGAAGCCACCCCAACCCCAACAAGACCACAAATCTGACCCTGATTCTTTGTTCTGGGACCCCTACCCTACACTGGCGTCTCCGTTGATGGAGAAGATTACTTCACACAAGTGAAGTATTTACAAGCATAGTAACACACTGGTAGGGTAGAAAAGACCATTTCACCATTAACATTATATACTGTATAAACCTGAGTAAAAGTCAGCTGAGAATATATTAGCTTATAGCTCACAATTTAAAGGGACCGGAAGAAGCGCAGTGTTCATGGGGTCACCACAGCTACATTTGAATTCTTCAGAATCAACCAAACACCGATACACTGAAGAAGGATACATCAAGATGTGAAGTTCATCTGAAGTCAAACCGAGTCCCCTGTGGGGACCATAAGGCCCCTCCTGTATGTTAGACACCCCCCTCTCCCCACCCGATTGGTGCCAGCCAGTACAGTATACCATCAATTACCCAATTAATATTATTCATTAATGCATTAAACAATGTGGAGAGGAGGCAGACTAACTGCCTGAGGTCGTGCCTCAGAAAAAGCAGGAAGGTGAGACAAGAAAAAATAGAAGTGTGAAGACAAGAAGGAGACACTTTCTGTGGAAGCAGAGAACGGTGGGAGAGAAGGAGCGAGAAACTCGGGTGAGAAGAAAGGGAGGAGTGGAAAAGATGGGGGACAAAGTGAAGAAGCGGAAGAAAAAAAAAGCACTGTAGGAGATGGTAGAGGACAACAAAGACTGCAAAATAGATGGAGCATGAGAGAAAGGAAATTCAAGACAGTATGAGAGGAGAAAAACATTCTTACTGTGGGCAGCGAGGAGGATGCAGAAGAGGCAGAGATGCACAGCTTGCATGGCAATGGTTTCTGCTCGAGCCACACGGCAACACGCGGCTCGCCTGTAGCTAAACCCCTGATGATAATCCCCGCTATCGCAGCCCGATATCCTGCCGTGGACGAGCACCTAGATTACAGGCTGACCGCTCGTCTGAGCCGCTTACTGGCCGGGCGGATTGGGGAGGGACAGACATGGTGAAGCCCTCGGGTCAGCCCTGCCCCCCGCTGTCAAAAGATCCGCCGCCATGCCCACCTACACCATCCCCGTGATGCCGCTGCTGTCGGGAGCATCCAGAAACCATCGGTGTACCTACGCGAGTCCCATCGGCACTGTGAATGGGCCGGCTGTGTCCCGTACACTAGGAATTCCCAGCGGGGACACTGGGCGATTCTCCCTCTTGTTTTTTCCAGTTTTCTTCACTTCAGGTCAAATAATTTTTCCGCCCCCGGAGCTCCTGCGGCAGTGTGTGTGGGATAGCGATGTATCCCGCACTGGGACAGAGTTCTCGGGCCTTGGCCCCAGACAGCAGATTGCGATCCATGAAAAACCTCAGGCCTCCAGAGATGTAAAGAATGTTTCGGTATTAGACACGTGCTGGCCTGCTACCCGCCCCCCCCCCCTCAACCCAACCCACAACCCACTCAACATACAAATAATCATTCATTGGACAGAAGAAAACAGAAAGCTGTGTTATTCTGTGCTTGAATCCCTTATTTGAAAGGCAAATACAGCTACATGTAAATATAGATACTTGCTATCGGTTAGAAGCTGTAGCAACTACAGTGGAGAATTGTCTGGTCATGTGACCAAAGGCTCGCCGTGCTGGTCGAGGAGCGGCTGCTGTTCGCTGCCTGGATGTTGATGTTTAGTAATTCTGTGCTGCATGGATGCACAGAAGGAGAAATGAATCACTACAAGCACCTCTTTGCGGGAGAGTCTTTGGCAACCAGGCCTAAGACGTACCCTTTAGATGTGTCCCTGTAGTAACTGTTAATTATGAATTAAGTTTATTTATTTACAACAGCTGGCAAGGAATTACAGTGAATGATGTGTCTTTTCACTGCATTGTCACGCTTTCTACCAAGTTTTTAGTTTGGTCGACACGTCCTTCACATTTGCTGGGTTTGACGGATGACTGGAAATTATTCTCTCATCCATCTATCCATCCAGCTTCAAAAGCTGCTTATCCAATGTGAGCCTGGAGCCTTTCTCAGGATACACAGAGCAGGGGAACGCCCTCGATGGGATGCCAGTCCATCATACTCTCACATTCATACACTATGGGCGATTTAGAAAACCAGTAAGCTTAACTGTCTTTGGGCTGCAGGAGAAAACCAGTGAGACCATGAGGAGAACACACACAGCTGGGAGTGAAGCCGTTAGTGTGAGGATGCAGTGATCACTGTCTCCATTCCCAGGACATGATCAACCTGACAGTCGCTCTGTACATCTCTGTAGCACGAGTTTGCGGCTCAATGAGTGCAATTAAGTGACAGTGCCACTGATTATAAACAGTAGGTGGATCTAAATGTACTTCAGATGCCACTGAATCGATCACAGGGAAACAGCGGTCGGCTGGCAGCAGATGAGTCGGGTGATGCATTCGATGTTAGACCCCGGATTTCCTGACTCAGCAGACGGTGTGGAGCCAAGTGTCCCACACAGGTAAACCTGACCTTTCGAGTCAAGCTTCACATGGAGGGTTTGAGTGAAACTGTGTGACGCATTTCAGACAGGTCAGTGTCACTCCTGTGGCCTGCTGTGACCAAGCGAGTCAGACACGAGGGGGACAGTGCAGGGGATATTGTGATGAGGAGGCGTACCCCCCCCCCCCCCCCAGAACAGAATCAGAAGGGATTCCAAGCCATTGCTGTCTTGATTGGACATTAACCAAGGGGTGGGGCTGTGACCAAATGCCTGATTTTTGAGTGGAATGTTGGATGATCCCCCAGAAGCTGCTCTGTCTGTCTGTTCATCTGTCTGTCGCATCTATATATTACCGCCATCTGGGTTTATACCCGCTAACGGTAGATATAGGAAATGACGACTGTGTGAGAGCCGCGCCAGGGCGAGAGCACAGAACTTTCCAGCTTTGGTCCCATGACGGCTCTGCTGCCGTACCCTTGAGCAAAGTACTTGACCTGACCTGATCCAGTGATTTGGCAAAAAAAAAAAAAACTGCAAACGTAAGGCTTCTGCAACCTCATTTGGGCCAAACTGTGTCCACAAAAATGTCCCCAGAAAGGCATTTACTAGTGAAAACACAAGTTCCAAAGGAAACAGGTTTGATTTTTTTTACAATTGGTAAAATGTAAAAAGAGCATTTAAATGAGTGATGTTAAGTGTCTGTGTGTATATGTTTATATGTGTGTGTGTGTGTGTGTGTTTGTGTGCGTGTGTGTGTACGTGCGTGTGTGTGTGTGCGTGCGTGCGTGTGTGTGTGACCCGGGTAACATAGCTGATCCATTTTTGCTGCTGCCTCTTTGGAAGAAGCTGACCTGAGTCGGGTGTTTATTGCCATCCTTTATTGCACTTCAGAGTGGGCGCTGCGTGCCAGTGAGGGGTACCCCCACCCCCCGGCTTACGCCCCCACCTCGTGGTACATCAACCGTAGCAGGGCATCGACACACCCGGCCCAAATTAAATAAATTTCATCATCATCAGCACAGTAACTGGAGGACGTACCATTCAAGTGAGACAAAATACCAATCCCCCCCCTTTACCCAATGCGTACCGCTAAGCTACTGCCGGCAAGTTGGATTTCCACTTGGGCCCCCCCCCCCCCACCCCCAAACTATCTCTCCCTCCCCGAAGCTTCGAACAAACACACAAGGTATCTACAATGTTACACGAGGAAAGCGGGTGGCACTGGCAGATTATTGTATCAAAAACCGCAGATGTGCTCTATATTCAGCCCACATATTTACAAAAAGAAAAGGATCTTTAACCTGTTACATGCAATGAACATTATGGCCATTATTAATATTACCACCTCAATGATTAATTGTATTGATTTGTTACACTACTTGCTCTTTCATTTCATTAATGACCCACTGTTGCATCTATGCCCCTTTTGAAGGGTTCGCTTTGCCAGTCTGATGCGTCCGGTTGTCGTCCACCTTCCCCTTCCACTCTCCTCCCCTTCTCTCCAAAGACCTCGAGAGTCCGTGTTCACAAGACCCCTGATACAGGAAACTTGATATATATATATATATGTGTATAATTGTAAAACATCACAAAGCACAAAAGTGTTATGAAGCCAGTCGTCCTCTTTGAGTCGTCAGAGGCACAATTGTGGCCGTGATGGAGATACAGTGGTGTGGGGGCCCACGGGGGGGCCTCCAAGCTCTCTGCCGCGTTGTGTGCACATGGCCATGGCTGGTTGACACAGTTCTCTCCTTTTTTCATCTCTCTCTCCATCTCCAGCCCGGAGCAGATGCATGGAGGATGATGGAGCACAGACGCACCGTTAGCTCTTCCCCATCTTGGAGATGAGCTCGTCACAGATCTTGGTCAGCTCCTCGATCTCTTTGTTCTGTGGGAGTACAGTGGCGCAAACCAGTGGTGAGTGAGGTGTCCGCGCTGGGTCTGCCCTGTGTCCGCACTGTGTCTTCACTGTGTCTATAATATGTTTGTGCTGTGTCTGCCATGTGTCTGCACTGTGTCTGCCATATGTCTGCGCTGTGTCTGTGATATGTTTGTCCTGTGTCTGCCCTGTGTCTGTGCTGTGTGTCTGTGGCTGAGCCTGCACTACAGACATGAGTCAGCAAGTGTGACAGTCAGCCTTTATTTGGGTCAGAGTTACCCCATTCAGGGTTTATATGGACCTCAGTGGGGGTCAAAACGACCCACAGCTTTCCAGTGAGAAAGACTACATTAAATTCAGGCATATGTCAGGGAATAGAATAAACTGCAAAGGGAATCAGTAATGGTGTTGACGTCACAGGACTTCCTCTTGTGATGGCTGTGTAACCCACTCCAGGTATATCTGTATGTATGTGTATGTGTTGTACATGCTTTCCTAACTATGGGAAGAATAGTAACCAACTTGAAACAAATAGAGCAGAGGCTGGTTTCAAGCCCTCAACCCTGGGGGTGTGAGGCCACCTTTGTGCTTCTTTGTTCTGCGTCATGGCGCTACTTGTGTAGCCGCCCCCGCGCATGTACCCGTGTGAGCGTGTGTGGATCTGCATGGGAGCCTCACCTTCTGCTCCAGTGTACGTTCCAGGGACTCCACCTTCATCTGCTCCTTGCGGAGGCTCGCCTGGTAGGCCGCCTGCTCCTGCTTGGCCTTGGCTCTCACCTGTGCAATGTCAGCATTCGCCCTGCGGGGGCAGCAACTCACAATTACCACCTCGCCAGCCATCCGGACAGTAATGGTAGCAGAATCCCAAACTGTTCTGTGGATGTTGTATTACTAACCCCCATGTGTCTCACCCTACCAGAATAACTAATTTAAAGTTTATACTGATATTTACTGCTATACCTTCACGATGGTATTAATACCACTGTGTGTGGCTCAGCAGGTTAGATCCCTGTGATACATTAGGTCACAGGTTCAAATCCCTTGACGGACAGAGTGGTTTCACCATTGTGTCCTTGGCCACGGCCCTTAACCTCCAATTGCTCAGAAATGTATGTCACTTTGGATAAAAGAATCTGCCAAACAATTGCAATGTAAATTTATAATGACGACACTGACACACAGCCAGATATTATCTGACATTCAGCAATAAGGAACAGTCTATGTACAGTCTATGTTTCTTTGGGTAACACATGTGAGGTACATGTGAAAAGTGGTATCCTGACTGCCAGCGAAGATCAGAGTTGGATGACTTCAGAGAGTGAAAGGCCAGACCGGGATTTTGTTTCAACCAACCAGTTGAGTACTCCGTGACTGTGACTCTCTATGCTCAGCTGGTTTGTTGAAGCAAAATCTCGGTCTGGACTCTTACTCTCTGGACCTGAATTACCCAGCTTTGGTGAAGATGTACACATGAGCTGGTGGAGGTTGGCTGTGTGGCTGTTGTGATTGGATATGTCTAAGTGAGCACCGCATATCCACAGAGTGCTGCACTCACTTGTCCAGCTTCTCTTCAGCATGGATCTTCAGGGCCTGGTAGCGCTGCTCCTCCTTCCGGACTCGAGACAGGTACTCCTGGGCACACTTCTTCAGGACCTCCTCGTTCTGGCCAAGGAGGGGAGACACTTTGCGTCAGATGGAGAGCCGTTCCAAACCAGATCTCTTTCAGTATACTTTTTCAATACTCGTATGACAGCCCTTTGGCCCCAGGATTCAATCTGATTTTTACCACTAAAGATATTCTCTTGGGGCACCAAGATTCGAGGTTCTTGTGAAGCTGTAATAGACCTTCTACCCAACCACATTTCTGTCCCTAATGGTTGCTCCTCAGGTTCGGGAGGAGATGTTCACCTTGCGGAAGCCTTCCAACACATCCTTCATTTTCTCGTAGCGGCGGAACAGGTCAGCTAGGGACTTCTCCACGGAGTTGAGGTCTGCAAGAGCCTGGTCCTTCTCCACAATCAGCTGCTGGATGGTGTGATGGGACAGCGACTTCTCCCGTTGCCCGTCCTCTGGTGAACACACGCACGTGCACGGCCCGAGGTAAAACTCAAGAACCATCACTGCCCCCCAGCCCCCTCCCCAACACACACACACACACACACACACACCATATACTTTTTTTTTCAAAAACACTTATATTTTAGATGGTTTAACTGGTTTGATATTTTAAACTATGTTTTTTAAAATACATACATTACGAATTTATATATAGTTGAATTAGCAGAATAGATTAACTGAATAATAGAATTAACTGACCTCATGATTCACAATGACAAAACCAACACTGAATTATGGATAAATAATGTTTCTGCTCATGAGATAATGTGCTCTTTAAGACAGTCTTTGTAAAAAACCCCATATACAATTAACACACAGATGACTTGCAATGCCTGCCCGTGGCTCGGTAAGCCACAAACAGTGCATGCATGGCCATCATAATGTCATATAATCTCAATCAGGAAATATTGGATTATTAAAAAGATGTGACTTCATTCCGAAAGATGGCCATGGGCATGTTGAGGAAACGTCTTAGCAGGTAAATTTCTCTCTGATTTATAACATAAAATCCCATATAATCCCATGTCTGAAGATCTTCTAACCATGTAGGGCTCAATATTTCCTCACTGATTTCATCTGACGATATGTGATCGTGATGAACTGAAGGTTGTTGGTATAACCAGTGTTTAGGATGCTGTGGTTTTAGCCTGTCCTCTGGGAAAGTCGTGCTCAGCTCTCTGAAACCTCGCAACGACGTGGGCGACGGCGTGCCGAGCCGGCCGCCACCACCATAAAGATGCCAATGGCATCTCCACAGCAACACACGGAGGAATCGTGCGGCACGTGATGTCAGCACATGACAGAGACAAGATAGTAATCGAAACAACAGAAACTGCAAACACGGATAAGATCTTAAAATAAAATGCAAACCAAAATAAATGAACAAACAACAATGCATGTTACTAGACACAGAGGAAAAACCTCTCTTTCTCTCTCTCTCTCTTTCGCTCGCTCTCTCTTTGGGACACAAGAAAAACATATATAGATATATATCCTTTTTACTTACCCGGCATGCCTTACGGGAATATCAAATTGTAAGAAGCAAACATGGGAGCAGAACACAAAAGAAGGGATTGTGTTAAGTCAGACTGAGTGGTGGGAGGCAGAGGGGGTGGTGAGGAATGACAGACTTGGCAAGGATGGAGAAGACGTGAAGTGGCAGGAGGAGAATGGAAAAAAAAACAAACAAAAGCACGTCGGACATGAAGGGAGACAGAGAAGAGAAGCTAATGGAAAAACAGAAGTCATGTGAGAAGCTGTATTTAGCAGCCGAGAAGCCCGGCCGACGTGAATGATGTTCAGTGTAGTGACATGGCAGGGATGTGTCATTACTCACAGCATGGCGTGTACAAAGACACATATATACATACAGCATGGAGATGGTCATTAGATGCACATTTTAGTTCCCCTCAAATACAGAGCGTAAAACTGCGGCTTTAGCTAATCCTGCATCATTACCACTAATATGTGAATCACGGTGCATTTAACGACGTAGTGAGTCATTACCCTCATGAGCAAAGGAAGCCAGATAAAGGTTAAAGAGTGGAAGTAAAACTTTATTTCCTGTTTCTTTTTTTTTTATATGCTTATATTGGTCCACATTTGGACTCATGTTGCGATTCAATCCACCGTCTCATTGTGAACTCTCTTATATACCGGAGGCTTATCCATCCATAACAGGTGATACAGGATGACGCAAACTAGCCTTTTGGCATAAATTAAAGAACAGCAGGGAGGAGGAGAAAGCAGGGGCTTGGAGAAACAGAAGAACAGAAATGAGAGAGAGAGAGAGAGAGAGAAAGAAGAGAGTGGGAGAGAGAGTAACCTGGAATTCTGGAGGAATTCCTCAGTCATACAGAGAGAAGATGTCATCCCTAAAAATAAAGAACCTCTGAATGTAGCAGAAAGCCTGGCCTGTTTGTACACCCTACAGAAGGGCAGATACTCACCGATCATCTGTGCAATTGTCTTTTCATACTCTGTTACTATCCTCCTGTGGGGTTACAAAGGCACGGAGGGGATGTTTCAGTCAAAAAACACACGAAGCATCTCTTTCGAGAACAGTTTTGCGGCTGTAGTACTTAGGACCGCAACAGTAACTATAGTAATGATAATAAATCAGATGCAGTAGCAGCTAGGTGTTTGTGAGTGGTAAATGACCCTAAAACTTAAGGGCAAATATCAGATTAATTTGGATTTTAAGACAGTGAGGTTGAATTTCTTTCCTGGTTGAAAGCTCATTTCTTATCCCCAGACAATCGTTTTGTTCCTTGGTCTGTCCACCTGAAGTGGCTATTTGAATACCCCCTGGTATACTCATCTGGGGAGCAGGTTCACCCAAAGAGGGGTTAATAATGCCTTTGAGAGCCTCTCCTTCCTGTCTGATCCCGAGATGAATCAGGATACTGAGGTGAGCTGTGCCATATCTGCAATATCCAGAGACTGGAAATCCGACCTACTGGCCAGCGGGCTGGAAGCAAAAACAGCAGTGTGTGTGTGTTTGTGTGTGTGTGGAGGGAAGGGACAGACAACCTGGTGCGTGAATTGTTGGCTTCCTATCAGCTATATGTGTCTGAACTGCTTCACAGTAACACAGTGCAGGGGATGACAGAAGATGGCTGAAGTTCCTCTCCGAATCTCTTGTTTTAATCTCT